GGGGGGGGGGGGGGGGGGGAAATGAAGTAGAATTACAGCCCGGAATAACGGTTGGATTTCACTTGGTCCGCGAGAATCGTGTCACGTATTTCACACGAAATCACAGTATCGCGAATTTTTGTAACGCAATTTTCTCCTCCGCCCTGAGGCGCGGTTACAGTTGGCCAGAATACCCGCCTGTTGCCTTTTTTTTTTCAACAAAAAATAAAACAACAAAAAACAAGGATGTGATACACATTTTCATTCACTCATCGTCACTCGCCATAAAAGGGACGAGTGGAGGTAATTCGTACGAGCGATCATACACTGTACTCATTTATTTTCCGTTGGCAAGTTTCAAGAACTCGACAAAAATCAATCCATCACGTTTCGTGCGAACATTATCCACGATACTCTATCTTTTACGCTTCCCCGCATTTGTCGAATTTGAGACGAATTTCATTGAGAAAAACGAGAGGAAAAACACAGGGCGCACGTGGGAATAAGACCTATGATCCAGTTTGAATTTTCATTAAAAAAAAAGTAAGATAAATAAAGCTGGTATGTACAACTTTCATGGTACTCTATTACGATCTCCGCGGTGATCCAATTAAAATTAATCACAGAATAATTAACTCTGCGTTCATCTATGTAAAAATATCTTCAGTTGGTTTTGTACGATCATTATTGTCCCAATGACGCGTGGCTTTAAATAACTAGCAGTCAGGTAAACAATTTTTAACTTGATTATACCTATAAGACTTTTCTGAATTTTTTTAATGCATTTTGGCGTAATTCAGGCTCAAAAATGGACCAAGAACTTCAAGTAATTGAATTGTGCACCAAGCAATGAAATACTCGAGTCATGATTCATTATTTACTCAATACACATTACACTACTCAATTTTCATGATCAAGGTCAACTCCTAAATACGTGTAAGACACAAAAATGAATTAATGCAACACCATTGAAATAGAGGTTCTTTAAAAAGAAAATCTCCTACTTCGTCCAAGGAAATTAACTACTCTGCAATTAAGACTCAGCTTTCAAAAAAAGGGTAGATGTCACTAGTAGTCCTCAAACAAAAATTTTTTCCCAATCTGAGTCATCCCATGTTTATTCTTCTAATTCTGGATAATATAGGCATGTCTATAAATATAAGAACAATGGAAAGTTTAGAGGTTTCCAATGACAATTGAACTGTATAATAACTCAAACCTGTGTAAGCCACATATCTTCCAATCTCAAATATGTTTTCAATAAGTCCCTGACTGATTTTCGTGAGATCAATACATTAAAAACCTACCGAAGTCAAAGGCTTTCCTCCTCTACCCTCCATAACTTATTGCATTTCCTGCCTATTATTTTATGGACCCAGGAAAGAGAATATTAATAAAAAATGTAACTAATGCGTTTTGAAAGGAAGCAAAAGACTATTTGGGCAAAGGAACGCTTGCCTCAAAGTTCAGCATATTGTCAACTCATTTGAGAAGCATTTTAAGGCCCAAAATATCATCAAATACAATTTCATGCAATTTTTCACCAATTTCCACAACAGCAAATTGCTTATTGTTCCCCTATACTGTATATGGAAATTTCTCCAATAACTGAGATTGTTCTACTAAACCATTGAAATTTGACTCAGAGATTCAATACAATTATACTGTACAATATATGTTGACCATAATTGAACTTGTTATCCTTTTTCACAAAAGGTTATCTTGCAAATTCACTTTGAAAGATATTCACCGAACACTTTTTTCAATCCTGGATTTTCCACTTGGCACAATTTATTTTTTTTTTGGGACACCATAGAAGCACTCTTGAAACACACCACCATTAAAACATTCACTGCAATATTGTCAATTTTTTCACGTAAATATAAAAAACAATATCACTGTATTGGAACACAAAAACAGCACCACAATGTGTGAATAATTACCCTGAAATTAATTCCAGGTGGAATCCCTCAACAACAAAATTCAGATAGGACCAAAAAAATATTTTTTTTTTTAGATGTATACATAGAGAACCCCTTTAACTTGGGGAACTAACCTCATATATGAGATAAAAAAAAAGCGTTATACAGAGGACATTGTTGTAGCGTGAGTCCACCGGTATAGTCAGGGAATTGGGGACTATGACTCCTCACAATGCTAAAAAAAAAATAATAATAATCACAGTTGAGTGGGAAAAACGGCGTCCCTCCAATGGGACCGCCCGACCTGGACGCCGGTCCGCCGCCGACTGACTGCCCGCTTGTGCGACGGACCAAAAATGGACACAGGCTCCAGGATGTGGCCAACAGGCAGCAAATGACGAGTCAGTCGTACTCACGAGACCACCACAGAATTGAAAAAGAAAAAAACTTAATTATAATCATCTGTGACACAACTCCAGTGTCCCGTGCTGGTACCAAATACGTTTTGCTGCTGCCACACGGACGGGACCACTCCCAAAATTCTGCGCCACCACAGCATATATAATGCGCACCCACTTCCTTTTTATTTTTATAATTGCTGTGCAAATTCCTGACGTGATTATATTTTTTGTTTTCGGCTAAAGATACAGCTGACATATTTGCAGACGAGGAACCGTCGAAAATAAGGTATACATTTGAACCTCACTCATTTCAATTTGAAGAGAAACCAAATTAAGTTCCGTTTTGGGAGTTCCTGAGTTTGAAGAAAATGGCTTGAAATGTATAAGTTAATCAATTTAAATCATTTTCTTGCAAAAAGATTCATCATTCTAAGATGCACAGCTTTCATGGATTTGGCAAAACCCTTATGTGAGAAGCATTGAAATAAATACTGGCACATATTTTGGATCTTGTGTTATTAAACTAGCCCTGCTCAATATTACAAAGGGCATGGGAAATTTGAATGAGGGAAGCCAGAGCCAATTTTTTTCTTCACTTATGGAGGTTTGAAATGCATTGGCATTGAATGAACTGGCCAGGGATTTTGTGGAAATTGGAGGTACAGATATTTTTGAATAAAAAAGAAACTGAACTGCATTTTTGCTGTCTAATTTTTCTGCAGTTTTGGAAAACTCTGGGAAGAATGAATCCCTTTTTCTTTCAATGAATATTCAGTGTTAATCATATGCAAGAAAAAGTTCTACCCAGCAAGGAATTTTTTTCAGTTGAAGTCAAATTTTGGACTTCATCCTTCCTCAGGCTTTGGATCTAAAATAAAATATTTCTTTTAGAGCTCATGGACACACAAATTTGATTGCTCAATTCAAAAGAAATTCACTTTTTAAATTTGTGTGATTCAAAGTAATATCATTATGCTATTAAAAATATGGTATACAGGTGGTACCTTGCAATTTGACCCTAATCCATTGCCAAACTAGGTTAAAATTGCAACGCAGTCAAATTGCAAGACACTGTCGAATTCAAAATATAAGTACAAAAATGGAAAAAGCAGGTCAAATTGTGGGTCAAGGGTTGAATTGCAAGTAAACTGTGGTGGGTCCTTAGACCACACAACAAAGATTTGGTTTATAGTGAAATAAACTCAGTAAGCACAGTTGGCCATTTGCGGCCTGAGGATTCCAAACTCCTCAACATCTGTTTATAACTCAAAGTCCAAGTCCACAATTATTTTCCAACCAAACTCCCTGCAAATTTAACCATTGAATTGCGGAACAGTTGAATTGCAGGAGGTCAAATTGCAAGGTGCCATCTGCACTCAGCTCAAAGCTTGTGTTCAGGCATTCCTTTTGGCCAGCATTGGAAATCGGAATAAACTTGATGTATTATTTCTTTTTTAATGAAAAATGTACCCTCAGGCAAGATATAAAATTATGCGTGCTTTCAATAACAGCCAAGAATGCAATCATTGAAAATTTCAAATAGTCTCACAAATTGGAAAGATTCGCAAGAATTTTATGTCCTAACCTTGAAGCCAAAAGAAAACAAAATTAATTTTCGATCAAAGGATTAAGAAACCTGGAGTTGGTCAAGTCGCCTAGATGAGACTCATTCCAGCAACAGCAGAGAGAGAGAGAGAGAGAGAGAGATCACTCATCATCAGAAAAGATCAAAAGTCATTACGCAGTTGGTAACACTATTTCGAGACACGCTTCATTACGAATGCGCACTAATTAAACCCTATAATTAAATTCATCCCGACCCCCGATTCATCCCCGCCATATTTTCATTATACTGCAGCGCGCCACTTGGTATATTAGAATCCCTAATTAAAATTAGATTTGTATTTTAATTTGTCCAAACAATTGTTTAATATTTAAAGAACCAATTCAATACCCAAAAAATGACAATCATGAAAACTCCTCTCAGCAGTCAGACATGCATAGGTGATAGGAAACAATGACTGATATATTTTTTTTATAAATCTGGAATTTTAATCTAAAATTGAAAAAATTAAAAAATTCATTACACTTGAACCTTGATAATAACTCAAACCTCATCCTCAAATGAAATTTTGGTTGAGGTAGGAAATAATGGGGGCATCACCCAACATTAAACTCAGAGAGCCCCAGAAAATCTTTGAAAAATTTGGAGAACTTTTCTTCTCTGAGATTCTGTACCCCCAGCATTGCCTTTGTCTTGAATTTTCCTGGCCAATCCCAGGCCTCTAAAACATTGGATTATCCAGATTAAAGTATAATGGATCAAGGCCAGTCACAATAATTAATAGAAACCCTTTTTAATTCGTCATCTTTTCCATTCTATCTTGAGCTGTCATTGGAAACAGTTGTGCACAGGTATTCAAAAAGTCCAAAGATTGCTGAGAGGAGTTTTCATGATTGTCATTTTTTGGGTATTGAATTGGTTCTTTAAATATTAAACAATTGTTTGGACAAATTAAAATACAAATCTAATTTTAATTAGGGATTCTACCAAGAATTTCCTGCCCTTGTCCCAGACTGTGAGACTGAATATAAATTTTGTTTCCACTAATTTTTGATTCACAGACATTATTCCCATCCTTATGTTGCAGTGATTGTTTTCACCAACAAATTTGATGTCTGAATTCCCATATAGAAACAATTTATTAAAAACCTTCCAAACCAAAAATTTCTTGGGAGGCCTTCTGGCCATTATTTTCTTGACACAGGAAAGAGAAAAAGAAATCAAAATATAACTCGATTCACTCTGAAAGAAAGTAAAAGAAATCTGGCACATGAACCCTTGTTTCCAAGTTCAGCATCCTGTCAACTCATTTATGAAGCAATTCAAGGTCCAAAATATCGCCAATTAAAATTCCCTGGAATTCTTTTTTCTCTTCCCCGACAAAAATGTTTGCTTCCCCAACTGGAAACTTTTATAACTAAACTTTTTTGGCTGGTCTTTGAAGTTTGACTATACCTTCATCTGATGAAGGGCATTGTTCTCAAGAAAATTGAAAGCAAAACATGAACTATTCCAGAAAAGTTTTAATCCATCATCAACTCAAAAAAAGAAATTGTAGATCACTGCTGTTATTGATTCCAAATCTGTCATGAACCTCGCCATTCACAATATTCTCAGCAAATATAATATATTCATGTCATCTCAAAAATAATTTCTTGGCCACAAAAACGACCCATTCGTCCATCCCGAAACACGCGCATTTTCTGGTTTTTTTTTGGGAGGAAAGATTCGAAATAAAATGTCAAAAGCATTGAGAAGGAAGATAATTTGAATCTCATTGTCTTCGTTCTGTCGTTGTTTTTCCAAGAAAGGCTGATTCACGCCAATCTTTTTATTTATTTTTTGCGTTGACAAAACGAAGGTCGAAAGCGGGCTGCTCCTCATTATTACTACTAGTGTCTTATTATTAATATTTATTAGAATTGGACAAAATCAACAGGATAAAGCGTTTAATGCTTCAAAAGCCGACTCAGTACAGGTTGTTAAACCTGTTCGGGATAAAAGAAATTTCCTCACTGCAATGAATAATGAGCGGATTATTCCTTTCCGAGGCTGGCAAGCACCAACAATAAATGAAACCTTTCAGTTCTTTTGTCAAAACAAGATAACGAGTGAAATCACTCGCCAATTTCATTGTTTATTTGGCCGGTAACCTTTCCATTCCTCGTAAGTTTTATTCCTGTTCATGATTTTTTTCCAGCATTTAATCTTAAGTGCTTCGTATTAAAACAGTTGAAGAAAAAATAAATAAATCACCTCGTTTTTAAATTCAAGGGCAGGTTAAATGATCTTGCAACTGACTGCGAATCAATTCACGTGAAAGAATAAATTCATTCACGCACCTAAACATCCGTACAGCAAAATTAAAATCATCTTCTTTAAATATCCAAATTATTTTTAACGTACTGATGTCTGAAATGTACTCAGTTAAATTCGTGATACAAAATAAAACTCACCACTGACAAAATGTGAGTGAGTTTGTCCGATGCTCGTTTGCTCCTTGTGAAGATTTTATGAACCGTCAAACCTGAAAGAAAAAAAAATCAATTTGAACATTGGTCAAAAAAATGGTCAATTTTCAACTCGTAAATAAAGCTTCGTGCATAAATAATCATGGCGAGTGAAAGACTTTCATGTACTGACTATAGCCCCGGAAAAAGTTGCGCAGAAAAATCCGCGAGTTCCCTATACTACACAGGGAATGCAAAAATAATGGCACACCAGGAATGCGTGGCAAAACGGCTCCCCCCTTTCTGCACTTCATTTATTTCCCGTACATAACGACAAGCACCTCAAGAAGTGGGGAAGGGTGTAACCCGACTCTTGGAAAAGAGCGGAGAAAAAATAAATTCATGGGTCACCGACAAAGGAACCCATTTCCTCGGGCCCCCGTCAGAAAAATATCCCACCCCGAAGGCCGAATGGCAACAATTCTGCACATATGCAAGAGGGGAAACTCAACTGAAAAAAAAAAATGTTTTGCACGCCAACAAAGAAGCACTCACTATATATATATATCTATGTATACAGTACGTGTCTCGAATTCCACAAGCAAGTTTTGTCGTGAAACCCGGCCTTGGTTCTGAGATTTCTTGCTCCTTATTATTGGAATTCCAGGAAGTTACAAATGAATGAGTACGAAATACTTGTAAAAATATTCACCAATACGAATTTAAAATCAAAAGCTTTACGCTTGTAAGGAAACACGCTTGAAACCCTTCATCAAGAACCCGGATACGTGGCATAATTAAAGGTTATTCTGCATTTAATTTAATTATTTTTCAGAATTCAAGCAGGTCGAAGATTTCAGATTTTCACCGATTAGATGGAATTGAAGGTTTCTTCGCTGAAATCTTGGATAACCTGACTTTTGGTTGAGATCTGCGACGAATAAGGGTCAGAAGACTTGCGTAAGTTTTGTCTAGATATTGTTAAAGATTTACGCCGGCTGTCCTCAACTCTTTCGATTTTTTCTACCATGGAGTAGGTGTCGCCCCTGCGCCATCCCTAATCAGAGCTAATTAAAAATGGAATTTAGGATTTCATCACCCGTCTAATCTAGCACAGGGATGAAACGACAATTTTTTCTTCCCCCTAGTGCCATTGGCTTTTAAATGAAAATTGCATGCATCAAAAAAATGTTTGACTTAACCTGAACAACATCTGATCTGGTGAATGTAGTTTGTCTTTTAACTTCCACAGGTGTTGCCCAGGAATGCCCATACTACAAGAAATTATAACTGTCAAATTCGGATACCAATCTTACAAAAAGGCTCATATTGTACAAACTCACACTCACAGTTGAGGAAATGTATGGGCATTAACATCAGAAATGAGATTTCAACCCAAGTAGTCTTGTTAATCAATTCTCAAAACAGATCTGATTTGCTTCTTTTAGGATATTTTTTATCATGTTCGCCCAAAAATTTGGCACTCGCACAATCAATTTTGAAGTTTGATCAAATCACCATGCTGATGACAACAATTATCAAAATGATGATTATGGTCTTAATGATTGTCATGGCCTTTTGAAATTACCGTAATTTCCACAAGATACTGCCCTCATTTACTCATTGAATCCATCAATTACTTCCCTTCCCAAAGATCAGAATATTTCTCGAGCTTTTCAATCAGCAATGACAATCACCTTGTGGAATCAGGGCACATACTTTTTGTGCACTCGTTCAAGAACGCTAAATTTCCCATAAAATGGAGCATATCTATTTAAAAAAATTGGAATTTTGGCTGTATTTACTCAGATACACAAGGCACTTTTTTAAAAACAGAATTTAAAGAAAAGAGAGGGTGCACATCATATGCAGGTCTAGAATAAAAATTTAATATTCTGTTCATGTGATCATATGTCATATTTGAATACAACAGGGAACGTTTAACCAATTTTGGTACTTTCCTGTTATCTCTGTACCTTCCCTCTGACCAATTTAACAGGACCTAACCTAACTTCACCTGACTGCCTCCCAAAATCAGTTTCTGCTTTCTTTGGGTTTCTGCTGAAACTGATTTTGGGAGGCAGTTTGGTTAAGTTAGGTTAGGTCAGGTTATGTTAGTTAAAAGATATTTGTAACTAACATAACTTGACCTAACCTAACTTTACCTAACCACCTCCCAAAATCAGTTTCAGCAGAATGCGGAAAAATAAAATTCACAGTTTCTGGTAGGTTGTCGTGATTATGAACTTGTCCTAAAGATTTGTCTGGATGGTAGTGCGGTCTAGGATTGAGGTACAGAGATGACAGGAAAGTACCCCAATTTCAACTGATATTTTCAAAAACCAGAGACACTAAAAATTAAAATCCAATTTTAGTATTTGTCAAAATTTAAAGACTGATGCTTTTATTTTGAAAACATTGCAAATTCCTGTCTTTAAAGATGAATGGAATGTGTGCCTTACTCAAGGGCACATGGTTACTCAAGGAAATGCGGTAATTAAAAGACATGTTTTACCAACAACAGGAACAAGACCACCATGGCATAGCCAGTAAAATGAACAGAGAGGATAGTGCTGTGCAAAATCAGAAAAAAGAAGAGAAGGTCCTGCTGTGGAGGGGGGGTTTCTTTATTTTTCGTTTTTTTTTTCTTGGGGTGATTGATAGCAATCTGGAAGGAGTGGCAATAATGGGGTCCAGTCTGAGCAAACACCAGCAGCAGGCACTGAAAAAGTCCTGGGCGTCTGTCCAGCCCAGGGCCCTGGTCATGGGCAGGTCCACCTTTGTGGAAGTCCTGAGCAAGTACCCAGAGTACAAGGCAAGGTTCCCCAGGCTCAAGGATGTGCCCGGCGACCAGCTGCAGGGAAACAAGGCCCTGGACATTCACGTCATCTTGTTCACCCAGGTATAACTTACTGGTTCTCATTTACTTTATTTTATTTTATTTCCTCCGCATTATTATTATTTTTTTTATCAATATGACTTGAGAAATCGTGGACCAGAAAAGGGACCTGTTTTCCAGGTTCTTCGTATTTGTTTTGTTTTTAAATATTTTTTGAAGTTGAGAAGTGATTCTTGCCAAGTCATTACCGCACTGACCTTGGGTGGGATTATTCGCGCGCCGTTGTGAATGCGGGACTGAAATTTGTGAAGATGCTCTTGACAAGCAATTTTTGGTGTGCAAAAATTATGACCTGTGGACAATTGGATCTGACATGCACTTTTCTGACAGTCTTCAGCAGGAGAATCTGGGAATGTAGAGGGTAAACTGAAAAAAATAACTTGAGACAGGTATAGAATTTTGCAATACAGATAAAGTTTGGGCAAATTTCCAGATATGGTGGATTTGCAGTTGGACCTCAATGACTTTAATTAACTCAAGTCAAATACCTCTGTAAGTCAAATTTTTTCAAGCCCCTGCCTGAATTCCCTATTATAATGAACCAAATAATATACCTACTTAACTAAAAGGTTTTCCTCCTCAAGCCTCAATAAATTATAATTTTCTTGAAGCCTTTAGGCTATTATTTTATTGACACAGGAAATAGAGGAATAAATCAAAATGGAACTGGATGAATTTTGAAAGGAGGCAAAACGCAAATGAACCCTTATTGACTCCAAGTTCTGCATCCTGTCATTCCATTCAAGAACCAATTCAAGGCACAGAATATCAACAATTAAAATGTTTTTCCAATTCTTCTTTCCCCCCCCCCCCCCTGAATTCTTTTCCCTTCCAACTGAAAACCTTCATAACTCAAATAGTTGATATTAAACTGCACCATGATGAAAACAGTACCACAATATCAACAGGTTTAAATTTCCTACAATTCTTCTCCTTCCCATTGAAAAAATGCCCGGTTCCCAAAAACTGGAAACCTCCCAGCAAACTGAATTTTTATTTTTATTTTATTTTTTTGCTTGCTGGAAGTTTGAATTTTTGAAGAGGTTTGACGTGTGTACTTGACTCAATGAATAAAAAAGTCTCCCACCCCCCTGTTCAAATAGCTAATCTGATTATCACATGTTTGTATGTGTGTTGTCATTGTCATCCGTTTTGAATCCATTCATTTTTCATCATTTTGGCTTGAACATCGATTTGAAGCAGCAGGTCAACTGCACTTGACTCAAAATAAAGCACCCAAGTATCTCTCTCTCTCTCTCCCTCTTCCCCTACTTCCCCCTCCCCACATTTTAAAATAGCCATATAGCCATTTTAAACTGATCTAATTATTACCCGTTTTGCGTGTTCGTGTTGTCCTTGTCATTCGCTCGCTCGTTCGTTATTTATTTATTTATTTATTTATTTCAATTTTTTAAATTTCAGGCTGTTCGAGCAATGGTGGAGAACGTGGAGGACTTTGAGCTGGTGGACGAGGTGGCTCGTCGCATCGCCTACCGCCACGTGCGCATGGGCATCGACGAGACGGACTTGGACGTCGTCACGGCCGGCTTCATTGCCAAGGTGGCCGACGGGTCGGACGACGTGTGGCACGCGGCCGCCAAGTGCCTCAACCACAACATCGCCGACTACATGCGACGCATGAAGACGGCCGGCGACAACGGATGATGATGATGA